CCCCAAAACCCCAAAACCCCAAAACCCCAAAACCCCATTTACTTAAGCTACTGCTGATATTATAAAATTATTAACTATAATGGAGAAAGTTAGAAACAAGAGTAAGCTTACTAGGAATTTCTATATTAATTTGCATTATCAGACATTCAAGCCTAAATCGTTGACTATACTTCCTAAGTGACTGAGAGCCACTCCTCATACATTTTATAGCGGAATCCTTAGGGATAAATAAGAACCAGGATTATAAACGACAGATTACTTTTAATCAAGAGAAGTATTGCTCCTAAATTTTCAAATTCAAATAAAGTTGTGAGTCGTAATGATGATGATGATCAAAGTGTTTCACATGAAAGTAATGAAAAGGCCCATATCTCTAAGAAGTTTTCAGGAAGAAATTCTCGCTTTAGTATCCAAAATCCTACAGGAGAGAACTTGTTGATTATGTATAATGGGGAGAACCAAAGGTATTCTACATTAGAGATGCGGGACAAGACTCTTATTATCCTTGATAGTAAGCACTCTTTCACCAACAAATCACTTGCTGTGAGTCCAAAGCCTGTGATTATTCAGAAAAGGTCGAAGAATAGAAAACCTAAATCTTCACAGAGAAAGTGCCCTCCTCAGTTGCCTAAGGTGCATGAAAAGAGAGGTTTTAAGATTAGTAGTAAAAAGACTACCTTCCACTCACGCATGAATCATTTTAAGAAAAACATGAAGAAAACTACAAATATATATTTCAGGAATATCAGAAAAAGCCAAAATTTTAATCGATCAATCGAGAGACATGAAGGGAAGTTGACTAAATAAGTTATATGAGACTCCTAGTGCGAAGAAAAAGATAAACGTGTCTACTACGATTGGAAAATCGAAGAAGATTAAATAACAGCATTATTACAGATTTAGCTCCTAAGAAGAACCTGTTTGGGTCTCAGCCTAGGAAATAATTTGAAGAATAATGGAAATATTGAGCTTCCTAACATTAATGAAAACCAAAATCTCAAGGCTTGGCTTAACCTGATGTTTCCTCTTTGAATCGCTCGTTCATTTCAAGGATGTAGTAACTGAAATTGTGCAACAGAAGATTATACTGAGAATCAGCATTTACCTGAGAAATGCGAGCATTTTAAAGTCAGTTCAGATGGGTACTGAAATTCGTGTAGCACAAAGGTATCTAAGCCAGAAAAGTAAGTTATAAATTCATTGTTTTACCAACTTTGGAATACTACTTGTCATAGAACTACAGAAGCCAAGCCAGATTTAGGGATCAAAATACTTGAGCCCCAGGTGGTCAATGAGAAGCCAAGTTCTCCCTTCCCGAAATATCGAGATGTACACTCTCAGTCACAGGATGATGCGGAGATCCATAAGAATTTGAGGAGAAATTTTCAGGAAGGAGTAATCAATAATTTTGGTGCAAATCGAGAAAGACATCAAAAATTTAAATTCAATAGGGAGAGTAAACACAGTATTTTACTTTATAGTAACCGCAAAGTTCATTGACCCAGTAGAAACCTCTGAAGCTGACAATAAAGGGACAGAAAGAGATAGTCTTGAGATAAAAATGGAACCCAGTGAGGGTCTCTCCCCAGTACCATGTAAATGTAAGCAGGTTACTATCCTTGAGAATCACCTACCTTCAATTTTCTAGCTGAAAATCCAACGTTTGTGAAATATGACAGTATAAAGTTCCAGGATAACAAAGTGACCGCTATGAATACTTTTATCCCGAATAATGAGAGAAGGTAAGATGCCTACTGCTTCGTCACTATGGTTACTTATTCATGTGTATTTTAACATCCTGCAGTGACATTCAAGTGCCGAATGACATTCAAAAATCAAATACAACCATTAAGAATCCCAAAGAAGTGGTATATTACCTGTAAATATCCTTTAGAAAAAGGCTAATACTTCATCAGACATGCGCTTGATGGTGACTGATGAAGCAGATAATCGGACTATTGAGAATAACTATAACTTTGATAAAGAAAATGAAGGTGCAAGGAACTCTATTATAAAGATGTCTGAATCCTTGACCTCCAGCTCAGAGTTCCACTCTGAAGACTTCTCTAAGACAACAGATATGAATGGTATGCTTCTTTTTCAATATACTATTTTGGATATTTCATTGGCTAATTTATGAGCTAAATAATCGGTCTAACGTGGTTTTAGGAATGAAAGACAGTACATTTGGTATAAATTTTTAGAGATTCTTAAATCAGATAGCTTTGAAGAAAGTAGTAGGAAAAGAGGCTTAAGACCACTAGCAACATTTAATCAAAGAGAAGAGGAGAAGAAAGAAGTAGTTCCTTCTAGAGAGCAGGGCGCTGATCCTAACCAGACAGATTTAGATGGTGCGAGGTGAGGAGTAACGCAGTTTGGTCTAATGAAGCTTTATGAATCAATTTTATCATATCTATCTTCTTCCTTGCTTTTTCTTAATATATGAATTTAAAATTGATTCTCTGATTAATTTAGCATTTCTCTAAATCTTTTTTTCTTGATTATTTCAAGACTGTTGATCTTGCTCTTTAATTAATAACCCAGCAAATAGGGACACCAATGACACTATGGATTTGAAGCCAAAAATTGTCCAAATCCTGGAAATCCCATCTGAGAATAATTTACCTAAACCTGAAGATTCAGAACAAAAGCAAGAAATAGAAGATTCAGAAAGTGAAGATAACTTCGATTTCACCAGTAAGTATTCCTTTTTAGCCTATTAGAACTATTTGCTGCTCGGAATGAAGTGAAAAAGATAAAATTCAGAGCTTCAAACTGCCTGAGTCCAAGATCTTACGTAATTCTCAAGGTATTCTATATGTAATCCCTTTAGTGAGTAGAAGCTAGGACGGATGAAGAGTCTGACTAACCGACTCAGTGTAAATTCCCTACCAAAGCAATATGAAGGAATTCTTTAAATATTATTAATAGAGCAATTATAAATGGAAAATAAGGGGTTTTGGGGTTTTGGGGTTTTGGGGTTTTGGGGTTTTGGGG